TTAGATATAAATTGTGTGTTGTTTGATGGATGGCAACAATTCTGATGACAATCAGGACACAAGAATGTGGAGTTCCAGAATTGAAATGAAGCTAATAAACATGTTGAAAGACGAGGTACAAAAAAATCAAACAACAGGTAGTACTGTGTGGACAGTTAGGCATTGGACTCATTTTGCAACTGAGTTGCAAAATTTGTATGGGTTTCGATACACACCAAAATAGGTGAGACAAAAATACCAGCGACTGAAAGCTGATTACCAAACCTTCAAGCGATTACAGGCACATACCGGTCTGGGATGGGATCCCATTGTAGGAACAGTTGTTGCACCCGATGAATTTTGGGATAAGGTATTGAATTAACCTGTACCCTTTTCAAAATTTTTTTGTAATATTTTATCACATGTACAGAACACATATTTTTAATATTTTCAATTGCTGTAGCCAGCAAAAACTATGAAGAAATTTTGGACAAAAGGATTTGAGTATTTTCAAGAAATGGCCGAAATTGTTGAAATTGTTGTGCCACAGAGGCCTTGGCCTGTGTATCCACACAAGGAGCCCCTGACTCTGATGAAGAGGATGAAATGCTTAACAAATTTTGGTCTCCTGGAGCTGGTGGAAGTAATGTGGCCGAACTTAGTACTGTTGACTTATTCGGCGATGAGTACATAGAGCCATCAAAGGGCACAAGTCACAATAAGGGCCCTACAAATAGCTAGTCTAATAGTGGTTGTTCTAAAAGGTCACGATCAAGTGGCTTTGATGATGTATGTGCAACTCTCACTACCTATGTACAGGCAAAAATGGAACATTCCCGTACCCGATCAACAGACACAGAGGCTATAAGTGCAGGTGGTGATGATTATTCTCTTGATATATGTCAAGATGCCCTGTTAGAGCTTGGGGGCATACCACCGGTCCAGTACATTAGGGCGCTGACACTATTTAAAGACAAGGAATGGCGGATGTTTTTTATGCGTACTCCTGCCTATATGTGCCTAGCTATGATCCTAACTTTACAGTGAAGGGAGAAGTTGTGGCTTGATCGAGCTTAAGGTTCTCTTTGTGGTTGTCCAACATGATTTGATGATGTCTATGTTGATTTTTTTTTTTCACCTGATGACACATGCTCTTTTTTATTTGTCTTTCTCTGTTTATTTCTATATTTTTAAAAATTGTTTATATTTTACATTTGGATGTGATTTTATTCTTCTGCGTTATTTCATGTCTGTTTTCTTATTTCTGCTTCAACATTCAATTTTACACACAACATACAATATGAAAAGGTAGTAATGACAATATGACTAAATATTAATATGTTTTTTCTTTGCATGTACGTTTCCATATAGTTCGATAAATAAGTAAGGCCGACAAATTATAGGCAGTGGTTTATTTTAGTTTCACCAATAATGGTAATAGTTAGCATGTTGTTAATAATTTTTTTTACAACTATGCGTTATTGTCATGTAGCCGAAACAATATGTCATCCAACACAGAAAACAATGCAATGGAGAGGTTATCAAAGGAGGATGAGGTTATTGAAGATTTTGTGGACTTTTTGATGATTGCTTTTATGAATGAGCATATGAATCCGTCAACCAGTAGACGACCGCAGCGAACTTGTCCATTCAAAGGTGATAATTACATCTTCAGTTTATTAAATGGCCATCCATAAACAATGATGGACATCATGCGAATGGATGCCCAAACATTCATTTTATTGAAAGACACCTTACTTCAAAATGGCTTTGTCGAAACTGAACATATGCATATCAATGTCGAGGAATCGCTTGGCATTTTTTTGTACACTTTCGCACAAAATGACCAGCATAGACTACTAGCCAATAGATTTCAACACTCCACTAAAATATTTGTCGGCACATCAAAATCATTATGCGGGCACTGTGCAAGCTTGCATCAACGATTATCAAACCACGTAACCAAGATGAGATACCGGCAAAAATTTTAAATGATAGGAGGTTTTTTCTGTGGTTCAAGGTATGACTACATGTTTGTCTTGTAAGTTTTCAATAACAGTAACGAATTAATTTTTTTTTTTCTGTGGTTCAAGTAGGATTGTGTTGGTGCTATCGATGGCACATTGGTGGATGCGTGGGTCCCAGCCTCAAGACAAAATACATTCCGTGGTCGCAAAGCTACGATATCATAAAATTTACTCGCAGCTTGCGGCTTCGATATGTTGTTCACATTTATCAATTCTGGATGGGAAGGAAGTGATCAACGATTATCAAACCACGTAACCAAGATGAGATACCGGCAAAAATTTTAAATGATAGGAGGTTTTTTCTGTGGTTCAAGGTATGACTACATGTTTGTCTTGTAAGTTTTCAATAACAGTAACGAATTTTTTTTTTTTTTCTGTATTTCAAGTAGGATTGTGTTGGTGCTATCAATGGCACATTGGTGGATGCGTGGGTCCCAGCCTCAAGAAAAAATACATTCCGTGATCACAAAGCTACGATATCATAAAATTTACTCGCAGCTTGCGGCTTCGATATGTTGTTTACATTTATCAATTCTGGATGGGAAGGAAGTGCCCACAACATTGTAATTTTTGTTGACTCAATTACAAGAGCTTATCTGCATTTCCCACACCCACCCCATGGTGATTGTCACCAAATAACACATTGTTTTGTCTTAAATGTTGATTTTTGTGTACATGTATTTGACAGAGCATTGCCTACATTATTTACATGTAAGTAAGTATTATTTAGTGGATGTCGACTTCACGAATATGCCTGGATTTCTTGCCCCATTTCGTTCCCAACTCTATCACTTGCAAGAGTTTCATGGTTGTCATTATTCTCGACCCAAGGAATTGTTTAAACCATCGACATTCATCGTTACGCAATGTCATACAAAGAACATTTGGTGTTCTGAAGAAGCGCTTTCCAATATTATCGTCCATGCCAAATTACAAGTCCACAAGACAAGGACCCCTCATGATTGCATGTTGTGTAGTGCACAATTGGATCCGTTTGCATGCAGCTATGGACCCATTCTTCATGGAAGTTGATAATGAAATGTCGGCTGAAGCGGCAGCAGATGGGTTTATTGAAGGCCAAGCTGACTATGTTGACATGCCACAACATGGGTTGACGTACCAATCGAACTTCAGGGATGCAATTGCTACTGCCATGTGACAAAATCATGTTGGCCATGGGTAGATTTGTGATGTGAAGAAATAATGTGAATTTCGTAGTATTGTATGTATTATTACATTCGACTTTTTTTTTTTTTAATGTGTAAAACATTTGAAATTATTAAAAAAAATCAACCATAATTTTAAAAAAACAATATTAAAAAAAATTTATTGTAAAAATTTTTAGTAAAACAAAAATATTAAAAAAAAATTCAAAATTCATCTACCGCGTTAGTGTTCTAAAAAAGCAACCATAATAGTACGTGGGATTGTACGTAAGAAAAATCAATAGTTGGATAACTCTACTCTTGTTGGCGTGGAAATAACAACCATTTTAAAATTCATGTACCCCGTTGGTGTTCTACAAAAGCAACCATAATTTTAAAAATCATCCCAAAAAAGTTATTTTTGTTGTAACATATTATAATATTTCAGTAAAACAAATATAATAATAATAAAAAAAAAGCATTTAAACATTCATCTACCATTATTAAAAAAAACCATTTTAAAATTCATCTACCCATTGGTGTTCTACAAAATCAACCATAATTTAAAAAAAAATATAAAAAATAATAATTTTGTTGTAAAATATTAAAATATTTCAGTAAAACAAAATTATTAAAAAAAACCATTTTAAAATTCATCTACCCATTGGTGTTCTACAAAATCAACCATAATTTAAAAAAAAATATAAAAAATAATAATTTTGTTGTAAAATATTAAAATATTTCAGTAAAACAAAATTATTAAAAAAAACCATTTTAAAATTCATCTACCCATTGGTGTTCTACAAAATCAACCATAATTTAAAAAAAAATATAAAAAATAATAATTTTGTTGTAAAATATTAAAATATTTCAGTAAAACAAAATTATTAAAAAAAACCATTTTAAAATTCATCTACCCATTGGTGTTCTACAAAATCAACCATAATTTTTTTTTAAATATAAACAAAAATAATTATGTTGTAAAATATTCAAATATTTTAGTAAAACAAAATTATTAAAAAAAACCATTTTAAAATTCATCTACCCATTGGTGTTCTACAAAATCAACCATAATTTTTTTTTAAATATAAACAAAAATAATTATGTTGTAAAATATTAAAATATTTTAGTAAAACAAAATAATTAAAAAAAGAAAAACCAGTTTGGTTAACAGTGTTTTTCAATTAACTGTTATTTAAAAAAAAACAGTTTGGTTATAATTGTTAATTTTTTTTGTTAATAATTATTTTTTTCAATTAAATTTTAAGAACAGTTTGGCTAACAGCATTTTATTTATTAATAACTATTTTTTGAATTGAAATTTGAAAAGAGTTGGTTATGGAAAAAAAAAATAAATAGATAGATGCATTATTTAAAAATAAAAATGGACATCAGTAAATTATATGAAAAAAAAAATACAAAAGCAAAATACAATGACAAATGGTTCTTACATCCATGAACCAAAAAATTAAGAAAGAAAAGAAAGAAAAGAAAGAAACAAATAAGAACAGAAAGTACGAGTACATCTGCAACACAACTAAAAACCATAACATGCATCAACTATTTAATCGCTCATCAAAACAAATTAAGCGTCATTGTCAAGTGGTGATGGAGGTGGAGGGAAGTAGTGTCACACCCCAAACCTGGGTATGACCGGCCGTGGCCCACAGGGCCTTAGCCCAAGGCACACGTAAGCCTAAACACGCATTCAATATCACCTTGAACAATTAAACCATAGTCCAATAATAAATAACCAAAACTCAATCCAGGACATGCCACAAGTGAAAAACAAGTCATAACCAACTTCCAAAAATATATATATATATAGTAAATGGGACACAAACCGCCCACAAAATAAAATAATTCTAAATAAAACCCAATCACAATGTATGCACAAAACTCGACAAAGCAACCTAAAAGAATATTAAATAAATGCTCTAGAGGTCCATGCAATTGAGTCCCCGCTACGCCATGAATCCACTCTAAGTTCTTCAAACACCTGGAAGTGATAAAACTAAGTCAGCTGATAGCTCAGTGAGTAGCAACATGGATAGTAAATACAGTTTTGAAAACAAGGATAAATTCCAAAATAAGATATATATCACAGAAACTAGATTGGCATACAGTTTGGTAAATACAATCTGTTTCAAAAGAAGGTTCCACAGTTCAACACTTAAAATACTCATGTCTCGCAAGAACATGATAAACGACATTTTCCACTTAAAACAGATTATAACATGAACACCAATAATTTTCTGGGTACCAAGAAAAACAAATAATATGTTGCACAGTTCTCAAGGCTATAAGCCCCGTTGGATCCAATACCGAACTAAGAGTCATCCTCAGGGTGGCACCTGGGCCTTTTCTCAAAGACGATCCGATTGAAGGTCACCTAGTTATTTTTAAAGGCCTTTTCCTTACAATCGTTGAGCACTACAGTCATCACGGCCTAACCCGGATCTGTTCCCTAGTGGCCAGAGTCACCACACACAGTGGAATAATTTCCCTGGACTAAATACACACATGGGCCCTGTTTGGTACAGCTTAATTTCAGCTTATTTCAGCTTAATTTAAGCTATTTTGATGTGTTTGGTTTAGCTTATAGCTTATAACTTTGTGGAAGTCAGAAAACAGCTTATTCTTTGAGTGGGGCAGGAGATGCTTTAAGAATAAGCTGGAAATCAGCTTAAGCTGAAAGTTATAAGCTATAAGCTGTTTAGGCATAAGCTATAAGCACTTTTCCACAGCTCTACCAAACAGGGCCATGGTCCCAATAATCAATACACATCAGTTTCGCAAAACATGGTAGTTCATCATTATAAACATGAGACCAAAACAAATATTTTACAGTATGCCAAGTTCACACATGTTTTAGAAATAATTTGATTCCATTGATAATATAATAATTTATCAAAACAGTTTAGTCTTAAAACAACAATTTAATTTTCCAATAGTTCAGGGTAGGGGAACATTTATAAAAATATGTAGCATGAAACTACTCACCTGAAACGAAATGATATAATCCTTGAATCGAAAAGAGTGTAAAAGTCCAACTAGTGCCCTGAACGAAGTATAAAAAAAAAACTACACGTCACAACTAATTTAAAATACTACAAAATAGGAACTAAGTAACCTCAACTAAAGCGCACTAACACGGCTCAACCCAACTCACCGTTACTCTTAAATATTAGATAAGTTCATGTTCTTCAACGTTTAAAATCACCCAAGACATGGGTTCCGGTCAAAACTTAATTAATTGTGACTTTAAGATAAAACAGAATTTCAAACAAGCCTTCCCAACCTATTCGCTAACTTTGAAAATTACAAAACCCACTCCACGCTATTAAAAAATTTCCAATAACCTCCAGATATGATCTAATGTATCCTAAGTTTCAAACCCAATTGGTTTCACTTGATTTGCTTATCAAAATAATTATCTACAATTTATTATATCCAAACAGGTTGTTTTCTGCAGCACTTTAAAGAAATTGACGGTTCTCTTAATATACACGAGCAATCAATGCAAGGCCAAAAATGTACGAAACTAGACTTGTAACCGGTTCTAATGACACTAATTTGATAATTTTTGGATTTATACCCAAAGAGAACAACACTCCCGAATTTACTATTTCGGACTGGTTTCCTAGACAGATTTGAATACCTCAATTTATATGGATTTTGACTCCCAAAAATTATGAAAAAATTCAGATATGCAATTCAATATGTAATTAATCTACTGTAAAAATTTCAGATTAGAATTCATTCGTTTGGTATGGTTTCTTGACTTTTAAAGTCTATGATTCTGCACGGAATTTTTCCTTGAATAATACCCAATCTTTTTGCATGAATGTGTTGAACCTTAAACATTATATCTAGACCTATACCAAACAAGGGCACCAGTCCACTGCCAACAAAACACACAAAAAATAATGTCACATCTCTTCCACAATGAGACTCACGCAACCGCACAGCACCTCTTCTTCCATCATTATTTCCCATAACCCAAGTTTGATATACTAAACTTCCCTCCACACCAGCCCATAAATTAATATATACCTGAATGATCAAACCATGCATTTCACGAACTCAACCATAGAAGATCAAAAATAATAATAGAAGTGAGAATAAACAATTAAATTACCCACAAAGTATTGGTTACATAGAATTCCTCTCCCTCCTTGTTTGCCACAAGCTTCTTCGTCTCTCTCTCCCTCAATGACTCATGGCTGCTAAGCCTAAAGTGGCTGCTGTTGCGTTGATTATAAAAAAGAATTGATATCTCACCATTAGGGTTTTATCCACCTAATATAAATTTCCAAAATGACCCCTTACTAACTAGTTTATTATTATTATCATTATTATTATTATTATTATTATTGTCACTATCATTAGGATTATTATCAAAAGTCTTAAAAAATTGTGAACTTCCATAAAAATTTATTTATACTTTAAAAATTAATTAAAGATCCCCCAAATATAAAAAAAAAATAATTTTGTTGTAAAATTTTAAATATTTTAGTAAAACAAAATTATTAAAAAACAAAAAAAAAACCAGTTTGGTTAACAGTGTTTTTCAATTAACTGTTATTTAAAAAAAAAAACAGTTTGGTTATAATTGTTAATTTTTTTTGTTAATAATTATTTTTTTCAATTAAATTTTAAGAACAATTTGGCTAACAGTATTTTATTTATTAATAACTATTTTTTGAATTGAAATTTGAAAAGAGTTGGTTATGGAAAAAAAAATAAATAAATAGATGCATTATTTAAAAATAAAAATAGACATTAGTAAATTATATGAAAAAAAAAATACAAAAGCAAAATACAATGACAAATAGTGCTTACATCCATGAAGCAAAAAATTAAGAAAGAAAGAAAGAAAAGAAACAAACAAATAGGAACAGAAAGTACGAGTACATTTGCAACACAACTAAAAACCATAACATGCGTCAACTATTTAATCGCTCATCGAAACAAATTAAGCGTCATTGTCAAGTGGTGATGGAGGTGGAAGGAAGTAGTGATTGTAGACCTGAGTCACTTGATGGTCAATCTAATCAATGTGGTTGCTTGTAACTTCATCACGCCTTTCAGTGTCAACACAAAACTCACCAAATTGTTGAATTACTGAGTTATGAGCGGCGGCAAATGCACCGAACCAATTATCCAATGCATTGAACTGATTCTCCATTTGTTGTTCCCATTGTACGCACTAATTGTGTTGTTCTTGTTCCAGCGCCAAATAATCAATCTAGTATTGGGGTTGTTGATTTTGTGGCATGGCATTGTCATTGGGGTCTTTGGGATCATCAGTTATTGGTACATTTGCAACATTAATAGATCCCAATAAGTTGTCAGCGCCACCAGCTCTGGTTAGTGTATACTCTAAAATTGGTGAAGAGATTTTCACATCTACTTCATCTACAAGGCTGACATGATGAGCTTTGAAAATTTTGGTTAGCAGAGCTTTAAAAGGTAGTGACCGGCCACTGAGAGTACCAAGATTTGTAACCACCATTTCCTTCAGTAGTATGTAGCATAAATCTAATGTTTGTCCAACTTCAAAACAATATAACAAATAAACATTATAAAATGGAACAGCATCAAAATGTCCTTTTTTAGGAGTGACATTTTTGACTATCCATCGATGAAGAATATGAAGGTGGGGTTTGAAATGTTGTGCTTGTAAATTAGTGCCGATAAATTGGTTCTCACAAATTGTATTATAAATCTCACTTACATCACCAACCATATTAACTAGGTCAGCCTCACTTTGAAAATGACTTTGCAAATCCTCTGACTAAACTCCAATAATTTGTGCCAAAGTGTGGGGGTTTAGTGTGATTAATTTACCTTTCACGTAAGATGTCAAACTATTCTCTCCAACTGCTCCCTTCGTAGGTCGTAAGTGAAGGTAAAATAAATACACAAGACGTGGATATACCTTTTGTGGTAAATTGGTTAAAGGTAGCCATCCCATCGTCTCCAGTCTGCCAACCAACAAAGGATCATATTGAGAAAGTAGATTTACCCTTCTCCCGGTAACAATTGGTCGGTTGGCAAAATTTGGATAAGCTTGTTCATGATTATACGTAAGAAAATCAATAGTTGGATAAGTCTACTCTTGTTGGCGTGGTGGAGAGTTAGAGGTTTGGCCATATTCTGGTCTGGCTCTTTTTGTTCTCGGCATGACTTATGAACGTAAGCAAAAGGATAGCAAAAGGTAACAAAAATGTATAGCAAAATATATGAAAATGGTGTGCAAAAGATAAGCAACATATAGCCAAAGCTTAGCCTCGGGTTCAGACTTGCTGGAAGCTGGAACAGGTGAGGCTGGTTGACCTACCGGATGACCCACTAGTTGACCTCTGGGTTGACCTGTTTGCTGCACTGTTCGGCTTACTTCTATAGCTCTGAAATTGTGAACAGATCTGAAGGAACCTTTGATCAAAGCTCTTAGTCTCTTGTTTTACACAGATATGAATTGTAAAAATATAGATTGAATTTTTTAAATTAATTGATTGTGAAATTAATTGAGGTAGGTGGTGGAGAAGATGGTTGTATGGTTCGGATATTGACACTATTTGAATAATGAATGTCAATGAAAATGGTGAAGAAGTTGGTGAAAGTTGTGAAGTAACGAAATTGTTGGAATGAAGATGGTCTTGCTAAAAGTTGTGAAGTGAAATTGTTGGTTAGGAGAGTGATATAAAGAGCTTCGGTCAAACAAATGGTCAAAAACATACTGCTGAGTTTTTGTAACGCCCCGTATTTTATCACTCGGATAACATTACCAATATTCATAATTAAGTCCATTTACAAATAACATTTCATCCTTGGATGAAATGATGAATAATTAAATATACATATTCCCTCTCGTTATACAACAAGGACATTTACATACAAATAAAAGAAATGCCCTAAGGCTTACAATAAAAGGAGGGGATACTACTCCTTACAAAAAAGAAAAAAAAGAAAAAATAGCACTCAGCCAAACAAACAAGTAAAGTAGTACAATCCATCATTACATTATACTTATGAAATGGTAAAACCTATTGTTTGATCTTCAAATCCGAAGAGCATTCCTTGTACACATGTACAGGCAGGGGGTGAGCAAGCTCACCGAACAATCTCGTATTAAAACATTAAAAGATATGTGGGTACAAAGATACTCCTACATATACGTGAAATCATATCATGTCAAAACCATATGATTCTATTACATAAACTCTTAAATCCAATTTATTTAATTAACCACAACTAATTAATTTAAATAAATAAGCATGCCTCAAATGTAACATGCCATCCTTTTCAATTCTTTCAATTACCCATTTGTCTATTGAATCAAATAATTAAACAATTCATAATGACATCTAACAAAGCATCAAATACATTTTATACAGTCTTATGAGATGAATGCATATGCCATAACATGCTCAAAATATTTTTCTCATCTTTTGAAAATCTTATGCACAATGTCAATTTGAAAACACATTAATCCATCAATTTCAATAAAATTCCAACGTGGTAAATACGACTTAGGTAATCCATAGGCTGGTGTCTGCAAGTAGACTATACGAGTACTACCAATTCATTTCCAGTTCATAGATGCTACTCAATTCATGAGTTAAATTCATTATCTTTCAATGTACACATGTACAGGCAGGGGGTGAGCAAGCTGACCGAACAATCTCATATTAAAACATTAAAAGATATGCGGGTACAAAGATACTCCTACATATACGTGAAATCATATCATGTAAAAACCATATGATTCTATTACATAAACTCTTAAATCCAATTTATTTAATTAACCACAACTAATTAACTTAAATAAATAAGCATGCCTCAAATGCAACATGCCATCCTTTTCAATTCTTTCAATTACCCATTTGTCTATTGAATCAAATAATTAAACAATTCATAATGACATCTAACAAAGCATCAAATACATTTTATACAGTCTTATGAGATGAATGCATATGCCATAACATGCTCAAAATATTTTTCTCATCTTTTGAAAATCTTATGCACAATGTCAATTTGAAAACACATTAATCCATCAATTTCAATAAAATTCCAACGTGGTAAATACGACTTAGGTAATCCATAGGCTGGTGTCTGCAAGTAGACTATACGAGTACTACCAATTCATTTCCAGTTCATAGATGCTACTCAATTCATGAGTTGAATTCATTATCTTTCAACAACCAAAATGAGACTATAACTCAATGATTTTCCAATTATGCAAAACTCACATGAACACTTCAAACCTGCCATTTTACGGATATTTCGTCTGAAGGAATCGGTACCCATTTATATATAAAATTTTAGGTCTTTCACCCAGGACACTCCGGCCAACTTGCTTTAAATGGAGTCCATCTCCTTTCTCCTCCCAAACAAATATACATATGCAATGTATTTATAAACATAATCACATATGGAGTACATTCCCTTTCTCCTCCCAATAAACATACATATACAATGTATTTATAACATGGTCATATTCAATGACACCAACTATGGATTAGCATTAAATCGCATAATCCTCATGTAATTTCTACAACAATTATAGCTATCCTCCAGCGATAGTCCAATGCAATTATTTCTAAAGGGATGTTCAATATCAAAATAAATAGTGTATTCAAAACCTCCATAGGTGAGATAATACATATCCAATATCGCCATTTATAATCACAACCTTCCAATTTCATGTTTTCAATGTTAATCCCAATTATTTATGCAAAATAATAATTTAATCAAAATTAGGACAGAATCTCCCTTTCACCAAATATCAACCCAAACACCAAAATCAACTATTTTGGCACAACATGATCTTATATTCAAGCCTCACACTCATTTACCTCATACTTATAAAAAATCCCTCTTTTCCATATAACACCCAAATCTTAGATTTGTCCAAACCACAACCAAGTCTTATCATCTATACACAATAGCAAATAACTAAACTAAAAATCATATTAGAGTGTAGAAAATCCCTACTTATATCCAATATCGCCATTTATAATCACAACCTTCCAATTTCATGTTTTCAATGTTAATCCCAATTATTTATGCAAAATAATAATTTAATCAAAATTAGGACAGAATCTCCCTTTCACCAAATATCAACCCAAACACCAAAATCAACTATTTTGGCACAACATGATCTTATATTCAAGCCTCACACTCATTTACCTCATACTCATAAAAAATCCCTCTTTTCCATATAACACCCAAATCTTAGATTTGTCCAAACCACAACCAAGTCTCATCATCTATACACAATAGCAAATAACTAAGCTAAAAATCATATTAGAGTGTAGAAAATCCCTACTTATTAAATATTACTATTTCCATCATACTAGGTCAAAAGTTATGGTATAATCTTAATAACACACTTTTAACCATAATGGATATAACCTTTTAACCAAAACTAATTTAATCCACTAAATTAGTAAGTTTATTATATTTAAAAATTTTCAAATTAATAATACCAAATCTAACTTCACATGCCTCTTCCCTCAAACATAACTATATTTCAACTTAATCATTTTTCATGCCAAGCTATTTAAAAAGGTAATATTTTTTTACCAAATTCTCTACCAATAACAATTTCACAACTTTTTCTAAAATTACTTAACCAACATGATATATACATAAAAAATTATGAAATTTGCCCAATAGAAACATTTTCAAGATTATGAGTTCGAAAGTCCACATTTCACATTTTTATTTTCATAAAGATGAACACAACTTAATCATCAACATATCATCTTTTATAAAATATCATGAATATAATTCCTACTTAAGCATTTACTTCATATTCCTCAACATTAATTTATTTTTCTCAAAAATAAATTTCAAATCAAAGATAAAAAAAATTCAACTTTATATTTCTCAAAATAATTCATCTAATCATAATATGAAGTAGATACAATCCATACAACTATTAAATTCTATTTTCGGATTTCTTTTTATAAAATTAACAACACACAATGATTTTTGCAAAATCAATCTCAAAATACCAACATTCTTAATATTTCAACATAATTTTTCTTTCAAAAATTACCAAACAAAAATATGAAAATATATCTATATGCAATACCTCTTATAATGATATATTTTCTCAAAATAATCCTAGCATGGCTTTTATGTAAAAATATGAAGAAAGTTCCTACCTCAAATAATGAAGAAAAGAAGATCTGGAAGGCAAATCTTGCCCGATCATGAATCCGAGACTACCATTGCAAAGATTACGACGAGCTCTCCGACTTTCATTTACAACACTATTGCAAAATCTCACTCTAATGATTCCCACTCGAAACTTAAAAGTTGACCAACAATGAAGGCTAAAGAGAGAAAGAAAGGGACGCAGCTCTCTGCTCAAAAGAAGGCAAAGGAAAAGAAAAAATAAAAGAAAGGAAGAGAAAGAAAGAAGTCTGATGGGGAAAAGGAAACGGAGGGGCATGGGAGACAATCCCACATGGCTCCTCACACACTTTAACATCAAAAAAATTAATATAAAATATATTAGAAAATATCTCAAAATTTTATAATATAAATTATAAAATGATATAATTTTTCTCATCACAAAATATAATATTTTGCTCACTACAAAAAATATACCAAATTTTATTCTTTATAAAATATATAATTTTTTTCACCATATGATACACACCATAAAATTAACTATCAAATATTTATTATAATCCTATATAATAAATAATAATAACTCCCAATGTGGTTACTACTAATCACCTAATTAAAAAGGACCAACCAGTTAAACATGAGTCATAAACAAATTCAAATTAAATTGAATCCAAATCATGGGTCTCACCCATAAGTTAAACATGGTCTAATTATATATCAAAATAGACCTAACAAATTTATCTCAAATCATGATCCAAACACCCAACACTAAATTTCAAATTCTACTACACACTAAACCGAACACCGATTAGTCCACGATTTTCATAATATAAATACTCATCAATAAATTTTAAAATTTTTACCCAACGTGCTAAACTCGTATGTGAACAACATATAAAAATTTCATAATTTTCTGAGATCGAAAATTATTTTTTAAAATACAAAATCGAACTATTTTCGCACAAAATTTATACATCAATCACCTAAAAATCACGCAATGAAGGATTAGGCATATCCCTTATTAGGGGCTAGATAGTGGAAAATGAGTTGGAAACATGAATGCTCTGCATTGTGGTGGGTTAGAGCGAGGCGTTAAAGCAAATGATGGGTTTAGGAAACATGCCAAGACTGGTGAGCATGTGGCCCTACTTGCACCGTAATCATAAATAAATAAATAAATAAATATAAATAGAATGTCCCATTGGATGATTTTGCTCCCATCACTAGCCTTTAATAATACATTGTTTTCATTGGCAGGTAGAGGCCAATCCACTCCCTTAATAAACAAATAATTTATCGACATATCTGTAGGAGTCTTTATTGACTAGGTGAGAGGTTTCTAATAAACTATTTGTAAATATGAGAAAAAATTTTTTGGGTCATTACAGTTTTTATTTATTTATTTATTTTTATTTTTTTTTTATTTTGATCCAAAGCTGACCAACTATTTTGATTTTTTTTTTTTTTTTTTTTTTTTTGTTGTTGCTTTTATCAAAGCTAAGCAACTGAGGTTTTGCAGAGGGTTGATTATATGAGTTAAATTACCATGTTGTACTTTTTATTTTTTTCTAACATATAAATTTAGTATTCATTGAAAGAGGGGTAATGTGGTAATTTCAATGTCAAACCCATCACACACTAACATTATTGATGGTACTTCCACTTCACGGGTCTCTCTTTCACGAGTGCAATTGACACTGAAATGGACAGGTGAGTACAATAATGATGGTGAAAATAATGGTATAGGTTTACGGATTTTTTATAAAAGTGATAAAATTTAACAAATGAAAAAATGTTTAGGTAGTGTTTAAGAAAGTTTATATTTTTGGTTTCTATTTACAAAAAAATTATTAATTATTTTTTATTTACTTTAAAAAAATATAAATTACAAATGCGTTTGGTTTGAACATAATATTTATTGTCTAAATTTAATACACATAAACAAAAAAAATATGTTTATTCAGGTCTAAAATATTTATATTTATTTTTTATTATTTTATGACAATGAGATCATACACATTATAATTGAAAAAAAAATTAATTATAAAAAAACATTAGGAAAAAATTAATTTAAAAAATAATTGAAAAAAATAAACTGAAAAACATTAATTGAAAAAATAAATTAATTGAAAAAAAATTGCACTAAAAATTATTTCAAAAAAAAATTATTTGGAAAAAAAATTAATTGAAAAAATAATTGAAAAAAAAGTAATTTAAAAAAAATTATTTGAAAAAACAAATTAATTGAAAAGAAATTATTTCAAAAAAAAATTATTAATTCATTTTCTGAATTGAATTTTAAAAAGAGTTTAGTTATGAATGTTGATCAAAAATTTCAATTGAGTTTCGAGTTGTGTGTTTGATTATGATTTATAACTTTTTTAATTAAGTTGTCAAAACTCATAAAAAAAATTTATAAGCAAACAAATTTTCTTACTTCACATGTCACATCAAACTTTCAAAACTCAATTACACACTCAATTCAAAACTCAATTCAACACTCTATTCAAAAACCATAACCAAACAAATTTTCTACACTCAAATCATAATTCCAAAACTCACAAACTCAAAATACAACTCTTATCTCAAATCATATTTAGAAAACTCTATCAAACACTACTTGGTGTTTCTTGAGTTTTTTGTTTTGCCAATTACTTTCGGAGTATAGCCAGGTTGATGTTTCTGATGTTGTTTGTTTGCCCCCAAAAAAACAAGTTTCACTAGCAAAAGCTTAATGAGACCTAGAATTGTAATAAAAGCATTCCTTGAAACAATACTACAAAAAGAAGAAATCTTGACGTAGTCATTTATAATTGATAACTAATCATCTTCATCGCTTTCGTAGTTTTGACATAGAGACATTAGTCTAGAGCTAGAAACATTTGCTTTGTGCTCCTCCTCATGTTTTGCCAGTCCATTGCTGTTGGAGGCTAATGATGGTTTCCTAACAACAGAAACTCTGACTGACGGAGACTTGAAATTGAATTTACCATCACCTGGTGCCCGGGAATATGTAGGGCCCATTTGGCATTGTTCTCATTATTTTTGGTTTTTGATTTTTCTTTTTCTTTTTTTTTTAGTAATGGAAAACACAAAAACAAAATTATTTGCATGTCATTTTCATTGAAGTTAAAATTTTGAGAACTCAAATAAAATAAAATAAACAGTTCCTAAAAATGAGGTGTTTTTTAGGAAAATTCTTACTAAACATGTTTTCAGTATCGTTTTTATTTTTTCAGTTTTTTAGAACATTACCAAATGGGCCCTAAAATTCATTTGTTTGCTTGGAGGAAAAAAAAAATCCTAGCCTTTTAAGGGTTCAAAAAGAAGACTTGCCATTCAAGAATGCCCATGTAGCACACACAAGAAAGGGGAAGGTGAAGGGGGTTTGGAACAAAGAGCATCTAATTATTTTTGTGCCCTTAAAAGTTCTAGAGAACATATAACTATAGCGGTTTGTCACGGCCTTGGTAATTTCCAAGCACTCTGTGCGGCACTTAGACAATCTCAAGCCTCACTTGATGATGTTAAGTCAGCATAACTCACAAACTTGGAAGAAAGACAAGAAGACAATGAGAGTTTGAGAGAATGCCTTTTGTATTTCACTTTGAGAATGCTTTACAATTCTTGGATGGATTAGAGCAAATGAGCTCCTCTCCTATTTATAGGCTCCCTAGGAGCATTGAAGAACTCTCAAGAAAATGTCATGTAGAAACTTCCCATGGAAGCCTTCTTTACAAACTACAAGAATGTTCTAGAATGCCTTCTAGAACTATCTATACAAATATCTAATTATATGTACAAGTGTATAGGTTCTTGAATTCCCTAGGTTCTTCTAGAATTCTTCATAACCCTCTCATTCTCTAGAGAAATTATATTTTAATTATAAATAATAAAAAATATTTAGCTGTTCTTAAATATTTATAAATTTCAAGTAGATATGAGAAATTTTTATTTATTTTTCCCAATAAACTAGATATTCTAGTTACAATCTAGATTTTTTTTAATGCAAAAATAATTTATATACTTTCACGGCTTGAAAAAATATGCCGTGAAATATTTATACTTAAGATGACATGCATTTTATGTTATAATTTATCATAATTTTACACAGCATGCATTAGTATGTAGTGAAAATTCTTACCAGAAAAATTTTGGATAAATTGCAAATACACCCCCTGAGGTTTGCTTAAAATACGAATTGCCACCTGTGGTTTGGAAAATTACAAATACCTCCCTGTCGTAATTTTTTATTTAATAGAATTAATTAAAAATGTGAAATTTCTAACTGATCACCTATACAATAATAAAATTATCTAAATTATTAATTAAAATAAAATTTTAACATTATTAAAAACTGTTAATTAACTTGATGATTTATTAATAAAAGGACCTATTTGTTATGAAATTAGAAACCTTAGGGTGTATAATGTAAATTCTAGAATCACAGAGCTCCGTTTGGGAAGTGGGTTGGCTTTTTGGCTTTTTTGACTATTTTAGCCTGGGGCTAAAAAGCCTGGTTTGGGAAGGCCTTTTGGCTTTTTTGGCTTTTTTGACTTTTTTGTGAGAGAAAAAATGTAATAATTACGGGTTGGATGTGATGTTTTGTTTTATTGGGCTAAAAAGCCTATTTTGTTTTTTATGGCTATTTTAGCCGAAAAAGCCCACAAACCAACTTCCCAAACGGAGCTAAGTAAATCTCAGGGGTGTGTTTGTAATTTACCCAAAAAAGTTTTTAAATTTTTTTATATTCTTTCTCAAAAATTCATAATCTTATAAATCAATAAGTTTTTTTTTAAAATTTTTTTTCCAAATTATATTTTAATTGTAAATAATAATAATAAAAAACAATTATAGATGTTCTTAGATATTTATAAATTTCTAGTAGATATGACAAATTTTTTTATTTATAAAATCTAGTAGATATTCTATTTATAATGTACAATTTTTTAATACAAAAATAATTTATAAACTTATACATAAAATCTTTTTGTCTAAATTTTTTACTTCAATTTTAATTTCATTACCTGCGTAGACCGCATGTTTTGATTGCGTAGACCGCGTCTTTGTTGTTTTCATTACCTGCGTAGACCGCATGTTTTGATTGCGTAGACCGCGTCTTTGTTGTTTTCATTACCTGCGTAGACCGCATGTTTTGATTGCGTAGACCGCGTCTTTGTTGTTTTCATTACCTGCGTAGACCGCATGTTTTGATTGCGTAGACCGCGTCTTTGTTGTTTTCATTACCTGCGTAGACCGCATGTTTTGATTGCGTAGACCGCGTCTTTGTTGTTTTCATTACCTGCGTAGACCGCATGTTTTGATTGCGTAGA